AAAATGTTGCATGCTAATGTTAAAAAGTGTTTCAAAATGTCCGTAAAATGTAGCGATAATAAAGTTCTTGGGAAAACCAAGTCCCGGAACCAAGTGAAGACGGATTTCTCTGAACGATCGTCATAGGCTGTTTTCGTTATCTTTCGTTTCAGTTCTGCACTTGAATCCATTTTACTGAAAAAATCCAGCAGCTTTTGTTTTGCCTTGATATCGGATATCATCGATTTACCAACACCATACTCGGTAGATAGATTGCTTGCGGTTTTGCCATGTTCTAGTCGATTTATAATTGACAAATTTGCGTCCAAATCAAGCACACCGCGTTTGCATTTCACTGGGGGGTAGCCACGCCAACGCTAGATAAAAGATGCTGATAAAGTAAACAGGTGAAAGGTCGCTTCGTATTCGCTGTGTATAGATCGGCTAGCAGCTCGATGTTACCAGATTGCTCGGGGATTTTCGAATGGTAAACTGCTACAAGATGTCCCGATTTTATTGGATTCAGCAAAGTTTTTAACACCTAGAACGATTGACATAATAAATTGTTGTAAAAATCCAGGTTGGCTACTGTGATCATCGGACGTAAACACTTCGACGCTGTGAACCATCAAACGGCCCGCCGACTGTGGTCGTTGGTTGCCGTTGTCTGCTGATAAACCATCGTCTCTCTTTTTCACTGCACTATTAAACTGGCGTCGCTTCTGTGGCAAGACATCCCAGAAGTTATTTTCTTTCTTTTTTATTCCGAAGAGGATGTGACTTCTCATACTGAACATTAAAATTAAAAATCGGAAAAAACATGGGATCGGCTCATGGCCGCGTTTCTTTGACGGCAGTGGAACCCCGTACAATTTTCCCGGGAAACGTATCCGAACTGCGGTGACTTACAACTTGGTAAAGTCATAGAGGGTCTATGGTAAAGTTAAGGATCTGACTGTAAACAGTGGAGAAGACATTTGATGAAGTTTGTGTTTTTAGGACATTTTTTATTTACAGTGGAACACTGGTGTGGCGAAATAGGCTTGTCTGAATTTAGGAAATTATTGGATACTGTAATTCGTTTCATTGTTTGCGCAGACACTGTAAACAATGGACGTACACGTGAAAGACGTCGGATTACATGTTGATAACAGCTTTATTGAAAGTGTTGCACCAGGAAATCACACAAGGCGACTGTAGTATTTATTGTTCACAGTTGACTTTTGTATTATACGGAACACAGCCAGACATGCATACAAACTTTGGGGGACACACAGTAGGTTCGGATAACCGATCATTTCGGATAATCGACGTTCGGATAATCGACGTTCGGATAATCGACGTTCTACTGTACTAATATTAATTGCTTGGAAATTAGTTTTTTACGCGTGTAAATCAATTCAATAAATAATGATATTTTATTTGCAGATAAATTTATAATTTATTATTGGCAGGGTGAGCAAAAAATGTATGTACATGATTGGCAGTGAAGCTTTATAGACAGTATGCAAATTTGTCAAAAAATAATGATGTAACATCCAATTTACCAATCAACCCCTCGCCCATGGTCGAGATTTTGGCAAGTGCGCAATCTTTTGGCTACACATTGTAACTGAAAATTTTATTTTTAGGTGTCCATTATATTTAGATAATAATATTTTGTGAAATTTGGAGAATTGTATGCCATCCTGTTTTGGTTGCACTAACAAAGATTGATGTGATATTGTTTGAAAGCCATCAGGGAACATATTTTACCACCTAATTAAATGTCATCTGACTTTTTATTCTTGTACCTACGGTTTGACTATAATTTAGACTTTAATAAAAACTAACACCATCGAGTAACTGTACATGTTAGATACAGTAGAAGAATGAAAACATTTTGTAAGCAATTATCTAGACTAGTCTTACACACAATAATAGCTTTCATTTCAGCATTGATTATTATTTAATCATGGTTTGCTATGAAATGTTTTAGAACACTCAATCGATTCTGTACAAAGCTGAGATCTGACTTCTTGAGCAGAAGCTGATCTGCCATGGTGTCCTTTGACCTAATTGGTCACGAATGCCATTAATTAACCAATCAAGACATTTATACAGCGTTAACTCACACGCCATAAGCTTTTTTGGCCATGAAACATCAACAATGATTGTGTTTTGATGCAAATGTTGCTTTCTGAACAAAGTATAGACAGTTCTTGAGCCACCACATGCCCAAAAATATGACAACTTCTCTTCCAAGAGATCACCTAGGATGGTATTGGACAGGTAGGATACGCCCAAAATGAGCATTCAGAAAACTAGGTGTCTTGTCAAAATAACTTAGACCCAATCAGTAATGCAAAATTAGACAACTGCAAGCTCTTAATAAGTTTGGACCGCACACAAAATTATGACACATGGTAAGCACTTATCAAAGACTTAAATTCATATATCAGGTTATTCATATATAAATACGATGAACTTGACCTTTCAACAACATGGCAACTTGTGGTTATCGCTTTTCAACCTGATGGTGCTTTCTATCAATGCCTGGTGCATCTCTCCCTAAATCAGTGCACACTGTATTCAAAACTTCATTGCTGAAGACTGTGTGTGCATGACATTCAGCAAACCTGCTGATGTTAGATCATAACATGGCAAATGTTATGTCTGTCAGTATCCATTTTCTGATTGTCCTTTTAAAATACAAAACAAATCACCACTGAATTGGTGGGAACTTATTTAAATATCATTTTAATTTGAGCACCTGATAATTTCTATTCTATCACATGAAAATAACTATTAAAATATCCTACTAATTTGCGCACTTGAAAAAACAAAATTTAATTATCTTTTGAAAATGAAGTGGGTTCGCAAATTAAGAAATCAAGTTTTACGGCAAGTTCAGTCGTATGCGTATAGTCCTCAAATTAACTGTCAAAGATAACTGGTTTAGCCAGATGTAAAATTGTAAAAGTGGAACAATCAATAGCGGCATTTTTTTATCAGATGAGCTAGGTAAGGTTAGACAAGTATTAGATAATGTTTAGTAACTGGTCTATCAAAAGCAAAGAAACCCAAAACTCCATCAAATGGCATCAATTTGGAAAAGCCTAGACCCATCTTCATCCTGCAAAAAATTTCTGATTTTGCAAACACTTGGCGTGGCATATAGCAATGGTCATAAAACAAAATAGTTGGATATTGAATTGCCAAAGAGGGTGCTGTTCAATACACACCCTCTGAACAGGATCTGCCAAGATCGAATAAATGGACTTTGACTGGCATTGACGATTGCAAAAATACATTTTATGTTTCTAATGTGTGTGAATGAAACAAACTAACCTGTACGATGTAATCCTGCAATATCTCCTAAGCCTGTTGAGATTACGAGTAAAATTTATAACCCTCAAAACCAACATGTTTGTTCAAATTTTATTGGACTCAAAAAAAAAGTCAATAAAGCCAAATTCACATTATACGAAACATTCTGCATATTGTAGTGTTTTCTCCAGCCCTATTTTGTTACAATAATTTGCATATCTGTGTTCCCCGTTATTCACTGATTTCAGGAAGATAACATGGACATGTTTTAAAAACATTGTAACCCAATATTTATGCTAATATGAGTATATTTAGTATCAAAATCTACAGAAGAAAGTCTGATGACCTGCATAGCCTGGAGGTTAGCTATCAATATATCTAAAGAAATTATTGAAAAAACAAAAGTCATTTCCCAGTTTTTATTTATTTATTTTTTTCCTGCTACCAATAAAAATGTTTTGTTTTGGAAAATTTGTTTTTATTCACCGCCACCACAAAACTTATTTGTACAACATTAATACAAATAAATCATTGTCCGAGTAGTAGACAGAAGTGAATTTCACTGTAATTTACGAAAACTTTCAAATGCCAGTGACCAGAACAAACATAATTTGTGAAGCCAACTGTGGGCATGAAAGGAAAGAAGATCTTGTGAGATCCATGTTGATGTTGGCGTAATACTATCATTTAATTGAGCTTGATTAGTTCTCTTCTGACTTTTTGTCAACCAGGCCAGAGGAAACACAGTATATACTCTTTTGAAAGGCTCTGAAGAGAACACTATTATAGCAAATTATATAATAATGTAATAGAATAGTTTGAAACACATTTTACAATACAGACACATGGATTCTGAAATTTCATCAGTTCCAACATTAACATAGAAATCAAAGAATGATTGCACAAAATATCATCATTATTGCAAAGAAAATGATGGCAAATTTGTTTGATAATGGCAGAAAGAAAAATACAATTGGCAGTTGATTTACACTGTTCCAGCCTAACCTCCAATATGACATCACAAGGGTACATGTAGGATGTCACCAGTCAATGATGTCAAAAAGGAATTCATTGATTTTGTCATCGAAAAAACATTTTCAGCCCCAAATTTGTCGCAAAATAGATATATTTTTTGAAGACACAATAATGTGACAATTAGAAGAAATTTAGAGAACATGAGGAACCAAAACATAGTCATACAATGTACATTATAAACTGCAGGATTATAGGATAGTGAATTTGTAAAGATACCAACCAATTAGTTACACCAAAATGTTATACTGAAAATTATGTACTGCAAAGGTGAATCATACTTACAATGAGTGCCCTCTGCAGTCTGTGCACTGTTCTGTGGATTTTGATAAACATTCAATAATACAATTGTTTGACTGAAGGTAGGTTTATTATGGAGACGAGAACAACGGTCGCCATGCCGACATGCTCCAATTTTAAAATAGAAGGAGCAGTTTACTCTGTATATAAAGAAAAGATAATATTAAATACTAGTAAACAGCAGTTGGTAATTTACTCAACAGAGGTGCATTCTTTGAGTAACTTACCTTGTATTATTTTTTTACAAAACGTGCATAAAAAAACATGTCATACAAAGACAAAAGTTAAACAATGATGTTGAACAACTTCAATTTCATTTCAAAGATTCAAATTTAACTTTATTACTCAACAGTAGTGGGTATAGGATGGTAAACATAACCACAACATTCAAAACTATCACACGACTCATAACATCACATGGTTCTCTCGTTCTTTGGATTGGTGCTTATTTATAAACTGTAGGTTTCAGGTATTAAGAAACTGCAAAACTATTCATCATAATTTTTACGAAAATTCATTTTTTCTATTATTATTCATATTCGAGCAGTCTTCAAAGAGTTGTTTTCTTTTTGAAAAACAGTCAAAACAACCAATTACGAAATGATTGGATTTGCATTTTTTGCACAACTTTAATTGAAGTTAAATTTAGAGTTTACAAAATACAAATTACAAAAAAAATGTTATTACGGCATTCACAAATCTAATCTTGATCGGTAGGTTCAGCTTCTAAACACCGACACGAGTTACGTCCAGTAATTGCATTTTTTATTCCAGGCGAAAAACCAAATGTTAACACCATTCTTTGTTTTATTGGCATGACACGACTGGGCACAACGTACAAAAATCCACAACAGACTGATTGAAACTTTTTAAATGAGTTAGCCAAAAAACGAGGAGCTCAAGTACTTGTCTGATCAGGAGGAGTTGTTTTTGCAAAGACTCAAGTTTCACTCAGTAACATACGTTCAACCAGAATTTTAAACGTTGTTCTTATGAATGCAACCAAACACACGCTGCCTACAAACGATTCGTACTGGTGAGAAAATCGTGTACTATGAGAATAAAAATTGTTATTTTGACCATTCTATGCTCGGGCAATTTATCTTTTAAATGTGTCCATATTACAATATACATGGTAGCCTACAAACTGAAAACTTACTTGTCTTTTTCGGTACCAAAAATCGACGCCAAGTACTCGGCCATGTTGAGATCGGCACTACACGCAATTTGATGACGTCATGCGCTTGTGGGATCTCCAATTTATTTGTTTTTTTTGTTTTTTTTAAAGCTGTTAAAAAGAGCGTGAAAGAATTGTGTTCTTGTGAAAAAGTAACAAGAAATCTAAAAACTGGTGTCCGACTATCAAACACTATTCTGTAAAAATGATTTTACTTATTATAATCTCGCGTGATTTCGCGAGATCAATAGTTCGGTGACGTATTTCACATACGCCGCCTACAGAGATACGGAAGTGGAAAATCTACGTCGAAGAAAACCCCTTGTTTTGGTTTACGTGAATTTTGAAAATTCAAACCCGATCGTTCAGCATACTATAGTTAAGTAAGTAGATATTTGAGAGTCTATAACACGATAAACAAGCACATCAGACAAAAACAGGTGTTTGAAAGCATAATTTTGTCTTCGCTTGTCGACGCTGTCACAAGTAAGATGAAATGAAACCCCTGCCTTTGATGCTTGGATTTAAAGGACGTCTGTCATTTCCGGGTCTACTTCTCATGTTTCTATCAGATGTTTAGGTTTAGGACTTTGATGAACATGAGAAATTAACCCTTATCGTAGTTAACATTATCGCGGACACAAATTGTGTTAAAATACGAGTGACTTGGAACATCCCCAGACACTTTCCATTATAAGGCGGACAACGGAGCCAGGTTTCAAATGGGTTTATTAACTTGTGAGCGTTCAGTTGAACATTTAACAAACAATGTTTTATTCATTATTATTATTTCATGTATACATATGCTCGTTATCAATTTAATAAGTTAATTATATTTTGATTGTTTTTTCTGAAAATAATAGATCCTTATGAATCTTTAAGGAACACCCCTAACATATAATTTAGTTTTGTATGTTTTTGATTTTGGACTCATCGTTAACCAAATCTATACAATTATTGCTATTCAATAGCAATGTTCTACATTTCCGTTTGTTGGATGTTCTGGAAAACTGGCAATGGGACATTCAATTATATGGAAAACTGAGAACATGACACTCACAACGCTCCTATTACTAATATAAACTCAATGACAACATCAAATAGCAACAAACTACCAATCAATGAAATTTACAATTATTATTCTAATTTTTATGTTCGTATTACATTTAATTGAAGTGTTTTTAACGGCAATATTTTTAACATACAATAGCAATGGAATAATTACACTATGCCATCCCATGTTCAGTGTTTTATTAATCAGTAAGAGTTACCCCAGTATTCAAGGATGTTGCAAAGCCCCTTGGTAATTGCCTACTAGGCACTTTGGTTGGGTGTATATAACTATTTTGTACTCCCCCTGAATTAAACAAACCTTGTTTGGTGAAGTAACATACCTTTATTATATGGGTGTTTTGTTTTGTTTTGTTTTCAAAGAAGGTATTGACATTAATAGTCTTGTACTATTTGCATTTCAGATTATTTGACATGGATCTCAAAAGAGTGGCGAATCCAGATAAATTGGATTTATGTAGAACTTATTACAAAGGTACATTTCTTTATGACTCTGAGATATGCATTAACAATATACTACCTTTCCATGATGGGTAGAGTATACTCTGGTTGTTCCTGGCTCATTATTCATTGTAAATCATTGTTCAATTTTTTTCACGTCCAATAATTTTCATTTTACGGTACACCATGAACATTTTCAGATACAATGGGATATAGCAAGTACTAAATTCTTTTATATTTTATTTGATCTGTTGTTGACTGGGTCGGGAAATTTTTTTTGTTTAGAATAGAGCCCCAATGAATAAAATTTTGTTATGTAATCAAAAATAACTGAAAAAATGTTGTTCCTTAGAGCAGTAAATACAGTCTTGATACATGGGATATTATCTTAATGAATCCAATATTTTTTAGCTATGTTGAAGCTAATCTGATTTTGTTATTACAGGAGGATTTTTCTGTTTACCATTTCTCTGGATTGTCAATTTTATCTGGTTTTTCAAAGATGCTTTCATTAAAGAGGAGTTTCCACAACAAAAACAAATGAGAACATGTGAGTACTCTTATGAATCTTTAAAAATATACATACTGATACTATACTATTATGTTCAGAAAATAAACACCTGTAAACTCACCTGTAAACACACATGTAAATGCACATGTAAATGCACATGTAAACGCACCTGTAAACGCACCTGTAAACTCGCCTGTAAACTCCACAGCAGTCCATTGGCACGAGTCTGATCCCTGTGAATTCATACTAATTCTACATATGTTTTGTTATTGGAGTAAGACAATTCAACATTGAGACAATAGTAATAAATCTTCTTTTATTTTATATTTTCAGATATTATTCATTCAGCAATAGGATCTGTGGTGTGGCTAGCCATTATAGCATCCTGGGTGGTTGTATATCAGATATATAGACCTATATGGCAGCCATTTGCAGACTATATTGCATTCATTATTCCAAAAGGGATTCCTTGAGTGATCTAATTTGACAATTACTATAAGAACGCTTTAGCCTTATGATGTATAATTCTCATTCAACAGTTACAGTGGTAGTTACTTGTACTACATGTTGTCATCATAGGAAACATGGAGACAATGTGATCACTGATGTAACCCTATTGTGTCAAACTGAGTGTATGGTTTCTGCAGCTGAATCACAGTCATTAATGATTCAGCACAATGTTCAATATGATTTGTGAAATTTCCTTTTGCATACATTTTAAATTGACCCCTAAAAAATAAAGCGGTTAACTGTAATTAACTTTAATAGATGATGACATGGAATCTGGTTGTGTGGTGCAAGGAGCCAGGAGGTGACAATCTGTGTGTGTGTTCTCCTCTACATGGTATTTCTCAAACTAGTCAGTGTATTTCACGACTCCATGAATTTATGATGTTTCCAAGCTTTTAACACGTCACTTCCTGAAAGCCTGTAGGGATAGCTAAAATGAATGAGAAAAATAATGTCAGCAGGCGTTATGTTAACTATATAAACCCGGAGTATAATTAAATATGGGGGTCAACATTTAAATGGTTTAGCCTAGCTCTACTGGCACATCTGCATTTTCAGT